GGTTGAGAAACACTGATATAGACGACGGGCGCTGAGGGGAAGGCTGCTAATTAATTTGGAAAAAGATTTTGTGTGTGCGTGTGTGTAATCTCTGTGTAATAGGATCAGTCTCTCGCATGCTGGACAGCTGAGCCAAATTCCCAGTGACTTACATTAATCCCATTGTGTAGTGAAACGCAGCAGGTGCCGCTCTCACCTAATATACTTTCTTGAAATCAATCACTGTTCGCTGCTGTACTGAGAGTCGCCGCATGAACACAAGCTTCTCATACTCTATTCACCTCTGTACACCACAATATTTTTGTCCGTTTCATATATTTTGATCTCATACAGGCTGTCGGGCGGGAGAAGCTTCACCATACTGTCCCAAATAAACACTGACAGGTTTTCTGTGGTGCTGCATGACACAAATAAACATGAAAATGTCATTAAAAGGACTGTATTGTGACAGATATGTGGCAGAAAGAGAGTCATACCTGACAACATCAGCAAAATACGGCACATCCAGATCCAGATTTTTATGGTCAAGAGGTTTCATGATGGCCTCCTAAAAACAAACATAACTTATTAACAATAAGTTCGCATATTTAGCCCTTGTACATGTGCATATCTGTACATATATGATTTGCTAAAATAAAAATGACATTTAAAAATCTGAATAAAATAAAAATTAATAACAAATATGACATTTAAGATAGAATTTATTTGTAAAATCAATGTCTAGTTATGTTATATTAACTCAAATATAAATACATTAAATTCAGCTATTTTTATTTATTGTTAAGTGTACAGATGGCCGTACCTCGATATACTCCTTCAGATCAGTAAGGTTCATTACCATTCCTGTGCTTCTGTCAATCTATGAAAACAAATAACCATTTTATACATGTACAGATATTAACAATTCACAATACACCAGATCCTTTAGTATTAAAATGTGCATTTATTTTGACCTAACATGGTTGTAACATACCTTTCCACGAACTGTCACTTCAACTAGAAAAACATAAGTAACAAAAACTTGTTCACGTGTGTGCATGAATGAAATACATGAGACATAAGCATTACTAAGGTTAACAATGCATGTGATCATGTATAATAACTCACCTGTGTAGTTATGACCATGGCCATTAGGATTGTTGCATTTTCCAAATATTCTTTTGTTCTCCTCATCACTTAATGATTTGCTAAAATAAAAATTGTATTAAAAAAA